TGAAATCTAAATAAATCTGGGTTAAGAATACAAGATTGTTTGCACTTTTCTTGAAATTTTTCTGTAATATGGCAATATGTCAAAATGAAAAGGGGAGGGCATGGGAGGAAAATACCAAAATCAAACAAAAAGAACTGATCCAGGACAGTGAGAAAATCATTATTGTTCAGACAAGTTGGTGGGGCAGTGAGAAATAAGTCTGGACAAGAGTACAGGGGGTACCATGAAGCCCTTTCAAATCACTCATACATACACTCATTCAATTAAACATTTAGAGACGCTTACTGTGTGTCAGGAACTGGCATAAGCACTTGGTTGTGGAAAAGAATGCTAACTGCCTACTAATATCCATTCTTTCTTTCTTCCTTTAATATAGAATTCCCAAGCTACTTCCTGTGCACATGACTGTCTACCTAAACTTTATACTTCCCAGCTTCTTTTGCATCTATAAATGGCCACATAAGTAGTTATGTACAATGAATGAGAACATAAGTGATGAGCGTCACTTCCAAGTCATGCCTGAAGACATGGGCTCTCTTGCCCTTTTCCTGTCCCTGCTGTATATAAGATGGGAATCAAGAGATTGAGACCTGAAGCAGTGATTTTGAAAGTGTGTATTGGGAATAGCAGGTGGTAATATTTCCAAAGTACAAAGAAAGGAGTAATGAAATGTTTCTATAGGGAAAAAAGTGTCACAAAGGAGGGAAGTTTGAGATGAATACACAGAATAGAGCAAAGACACAAAAAAGAATGGTATGTTTAGGAAATAGTGGTTATTCCTATTTAAGCTGGGGAATATGCAAGAATAGTTTTTAAGAGTTTTTAGATTCATGTGTATATAGGGTTATACATGTACATGTATAATAAAATAAAAAATAAATTAAGAGATTTGGTACTTGCATAAGAATAAACAGATCAGTGAATAAAAACAGAGACTATAAAATTAAATCCAAATACATTTGGAATTGAGTATATATAGTTAAATGTATTTTACTCTTGAGACTAAAATAAATTCCAGAGTGATCAATTATTTTTACAGAAAAAAATAAAATAATAAATGTACTAGAATAAGGTATGGGAAAAGTAAAAGTAAAGATTTGTAATAATTATAATTTATCTAAGAAAGACAAAAACACCAGTAGCATAGATAAAAAGACTGATGAATTAAAATTTCTGTAATAAATCAATCAATTATAAACATAGAAGCAAAATGATTCCTCTTAGAATATCCTGAAAAAAGAGGAATATACATAAATATATATAAATGCTTTTATAGGAACAGGGTATTTCTGGAACACAACCAAAAAAACTGGTAACAGTGGTTATCTCTTGGAAGAAGGGCTGAGAAACAAGCTTACTTTATAATGAATATCATTTTGAATTATTACGTTTCTATGACTTTCTCAATTCAAAAAAATTAGTTTGGTGGGACTGCAAACTAGTTCAACCTCTGTGGAAAGCAATATGGAGATACCTTAAAGCGATACAAGTGAATCTACCATTTGATCCAGCAATCCCATTGCTGGGCATCTACCCAAATGATCCAGTGACACTCTACAAAAAAGACACCTGCACTCGAATGTTTATAGCAGCACAATTCATAATTGCAAGGCTGTGGAAACAGCCCAAGTGCCCATCAATCCAAGAATGGATTAATAAAATGTGGTATATGTATACAATGGAGTACTATTCAGCTCTAAGAAACAATGGTGATATAGCACATCTTATATTTTCCTGGTTAGAGCTGTAACCCATACTACTAAGTGAAGTATCCCAAGAATGGAAAAACAAGCACCAGATATATTCTCCAGCAAACTGGTATTAACTGAGTAGCACCTAAGTGGACACATAGGTGCTACAGTAATAGGATATTGGGGAGGTGGGAGGGGGGCGGGTATATACATACATAATGAGTGAGATGTGCACCATCTGGGGGATGGTCATGATGGAGACTCAGACTTTTGGGGGGAGGGGGGAAATGGGCATTTATTCAAACCTTAAAATCTGTACCCCCATAATATGCCAAAATAAAAAAAAAATTAAAAAAAAAACCCAAAAAACTGATGTCCAACATGTAATGGAATTCTACTTGTACCCCCTAAATCTATATTAAAAGAAAAAAGAAAAAAAAAATTAGTTAAAAATTTAAAAGATCATGCTGACAAGACAGAACTACATCACGAATGCCATTAATTCAGACTGACATCACTGCCTGTATCAAACCACGTGGACAGTAGTAGCATTTTTTCTTAATAAATTAAGTAAATAATCAGCTACTAAAGAAAAAAAAATTTAACTCATGGTTCATCATAATGAACTATGAACTATTTTCAAAATATAGTCTTGCTCTATAGTATCTCAAATATTCACAGATAATGACATCTTGTCTCACAGACATCCTTCTAATTATAAATCACATGAACATTTTCCTCTACTAAAGTCCAATATTAAAGTTTTTGTTAAAATTTTCATTAAAAATTACTTTATTCTGAATGGATATAAAGCACGCACCTGATCAAAAGGTACAAACGGAACACAATGAAAAACAAATCATTCTCCTACTTCTGAACCCCAACTGTCCAGTTTTTCTTTACAGAAATAATCACTGCTATCAGTTTCTTGTGTATAGTCCCAGATATTTTATATGTGTGCATATGCATGTCTGTATAAGTACAGATATGAACTTATTATTAATTTTAAGAAAATATATACAAACAGCTTTCTATAGGGTGCTTAGCTCCTTACTCTTTTTACTTAACAAAACATATTGGTGAATGGCCTCTATTCCTTTAATGCTAAGCAGCATCCTATTACATAAATGTATCTAATTTATTTAAGCATTTTCCTATCTATTTAAGTTGTTCACAGTCTTTTGCTATTATAAACTCCTCTTCAATAAAGAGACTTGTACACGTCAGTGTGGAAAAAGTATAACTGATATGCCCAATGGATAAATTTCTAGATATGGTATTGCTGGGCCAAAGTTTTTCTTTTTTTCCTTTAACATTTTTAAGCTTTTTAATACAACATTGCTAAAGTACCTTCTCCAAGGTTAATGCAAATGATACCCCTATTTGCAATACTAAAAAAAATCTGTATTTACTTATCCTTCTAAACTCCAGGTAATTAATTTATTTTGAGTTTTGACCACTGAGGGAAAAAGTGAAAATCATTATTTCATTTTAGTTTGACTGCTAACAAGGTAAACATTTATTTGTGTATTTCTTCACATTTCTTTCTATGAACTGCACTTACTACAGTCCCTGAAATGTAATAAAATAGTTTTTGAATAAATTGTCTATTTATATCTTTTGCTCATTTTTATCTTGAGGTGTTCTTTTCCTTACTGACATGAATGTGACTTACAAGGCTTAAAGCGTATAAAGTGCCTAAACAATACCCATTATAACAGGCATTCTGTCTTCTCTATCCTTTCCTTTTTATACAGTCTCATTTTATTCCTGTTTTATAGATGAAAACATTAAGAGTCAAAGATTAAGTTGTCTAAAGTTTCACAATTGGAAAAATCTACTTTAGAGAACAAAAACAAACCAAGCTAATGGGTTAGTTACAGTACTTTCAGAATTCTGTGCCTCCTGCGAAAAGGCAGAAAACTTTTCAACAGGCAGATAATCTATAACATAAAGTCAGATCATATTTCTAACAAAGACAGTATAAAATCTACAAGTAATGATCTAAAAGATTTCAGAACTTGCTTTACAAGTGAGAGGGGATGATTTATAGTCCTGATATATCAGTAATGTAGACAATAAGTTTTCTAGAATTAAAATTTGCCATTGGCAGGGGTGAACCCAGGTTTTGCAGGGCCAAAAGCTTAACATTTTCAGGGAAACATGAAAAAAAGAGGAGGAGGGGAAACAGGAAGTAGTGGCAATGAATGTAACTGAAACAGAGGAAACAATGGGAAAAGTGGGAGGAAAGGAAGCCTAGAGAGGCAGTCATGCTAAAGATCATGTCAAGCCTTGTAGGCATAGTAAAAACTTTGGGTTGTGTTCTGAGAAACACTGGAAATCACTAAAGAGTTCTGAGTAGAAGGAGGGCATGATCTTTGTTTTTAAAGAGTTATTATAGCTATATGTAGAGAAGAGGAGAAGGGTATACGAAGGCAGACCAGAATGACACTATACAAAGTGCATTTGACTATTGTGAAAGTAGTGGAGGTGATGTGAAATAGTAAGATATTAGAGATATTTTGAAGGTAGAGTCTTGATCAGATTCCTACCTTCTTTTCCACAGCTACCCATGCAGTACTTGAGTCAATCAAAGCTACTGGCTCAACATACCAGGTTCTTCACTCACCTGCATTTGTATATACTCTTTACCATTGGCTAGATACTGCCTCTCTAAACCAGTATCATGAATTAGCAAACATATCTTTTCTTCTGTAAAGCATTCCTTTTTTCTGTGTTTCAATAGCACTTTTTACTATTTCTACTACAATATTTATTACATCTGATACTAATAATTTTTAAAACTCCTGCCTCCACTAGATTATATACTTCTCTAGGGATTAATTCATCTTAGTAATTATAGAAATTATATATAGAGATATAATCTTAGTAATTATAGAAATTATACATAGAGATATATAATACAAAACATAAAAGCATAAACAATGGTAAAATTTGCTCACATGGCTTAGGAAATATCTTTTGAATTGTAAGTAAATAGCCCCCATTTTCTTTAGAAGGGAGGGGAAACTCCTAAAAAGCTCCCTCCTCACCCCTAGGTCTGAAAAGGAATTTGTGCCTTTCATGAGTAAGCACTTTCAGTTTTATGCCACCATTGATTACAAGTCCAGTCACTGAATTCAAGGCACATTTGTCATTCTAAGTTTTTGTAAAGGCATAAATGATTACTATCTAGGTACCTGAGAAACCTATTCCTTAAATATATCCATAGAAACACTGTATGATATACTTCAGATCACTGATCTGAAAATTACTTTTTTATAATATAAAAAACAGATTATAACTTACCAAATCAGTTTCTTTTTTTCTTCTTTTCTTTCGTTCTGTTTTTGGCACCTGACATGGGGTCGGGAGAAATACAGAAACTATGATAACAAAGACCAACATACTTTCTACTTCTTTGCAAATGTTGAGATATTTGCTCAAAAGGTAATAAAATAAGCAGCTCTTTATTTTTCAAGAGGAACTATGCAGTGCTAATAAACAAATGTGAGAAAAATTTTAAGTTTGATAAAATATAGTGCTAATAAAAACAACAAAGGAAAGGATATTTTAAAGATTATTCTCTCTTTAAACTTCAATTCTTCCTAGAAGACATGCCATATTAATTAAAGTGATTATTTTATTTTTAAAATTAGTTAAATGATTGTTCATTTTTAAGATTTTACTTCCCATATTTGGCTCTAGAAAACCATCACAGAGTTAAATATAAAAGGTATCATTTGGGATAAGAGCAGCTGTTTCACATGTGATACTTCCTGATAACTATAGTACATAACAATCCAAACCTGACCTTTTAAACCTATAGACAAAGGCAGTATGAGACTAATTAAGAATCTTATTCTAAATAAAATAAAAACCTTAACCAAGGGCCGGGTGCGGTGGCTCACGCCTGTAATCCTAGCTCTCTGGGAGGCCGAGCCGGGCGGATCGTTTTGAGTTCAGGAGTTCGAAACCAACCTGAGCAAGAGCGAGACCCCGTCTCTACTATAAATAGAAAGAAATTAATTGGCCAACTAATATATACAGAAAAAATTTAGCCGGGCATGGTGGCACATGCCTGTAGTCCCAGCTACTCGGGAGGCTGAGGCAGTAGGATTGCTTGAGCCCAGGAGTTTGAGGTTGCTGTGAGCTAGGCTGATGCCATGGCACTCACTCTAGCCTGGGCAACAAAGCGAGACTCTGTCTCGAAAAAAAAACAAAAAAAAAAAACCTTAACCAAGATCTAGAATAGAAGAATTTTCCAGGACTTGTTTATGTCTGAATACTTTAAAAATGATCTAAGGTGATATGCAAATCTAAATAAAATACATATAAACTAGAATAACTAAAAATAAAATGGAATATAATCAATACAAAGGATAGGATTGATGGTATTCCTGATGTGAACAGGTACCTAATTATTTCATTTGGGATACTGAAAAGAAATACATAGATAACTTTGTCTAAGTCTGCTATCTCTTCTCTAATATAGATTTCATAATAGTTATTCAATAGGGCTGAAGCAAGCATTAAATAAAATATCCAGCACCTCGTACAATTCTCAGGGTATAATAGGCATTCAAAAATAAAAGTTATTATTAGTATTAAGTAGATTTCCTGAAACACATATCTTAAAACACATTTTCCTGTGAAAACACATTTTCAAGAGGAAATATAATTTATGACTCCTTACATAAAGGCCACTAGAAGGAAATTCAAGAACTCTGTTAAAGCTGAGAGTATTATTTTGAAGGTACAAAATTATATTTTAACTCAGTGAAGAGTAGTATATTTATTACTAAGGGTTTAGAAAATATGGTCTGATGAACTTATAAGACAGAATGGAGTTTGGAGAATCTAAAGAAGTACTAAGTTGACATGTTCTCTGTAAAGTTTTTCTCAAATACCAGATGTCTCCAATAGACTCTTATAAACAATTCACAACTGAATCCTTTTAGAAATCAAGATACATCACATTTACCTTTGTGACTGTGCAATCTGAAGTCTTGAATTCATTCATATATTCATCTAAAAACACTTTAAAAGTGTTGACCCAAACCCTCACTGGAGATTCTCCCCAGTCACGTTGCTCAAGCCTCATGGTCTTTTCCAGAATCTGTTCAAATAGCGCGTAGAGGTCTTTATACCGTATGCTTTCCGCATCATCCATCTAATAAGCAATGAAAAATAAGTAAGGTTTTATGAAGGAATTCTTTAAATACAGAATATGGATTAAACTTGTATTGAGTTGTACTTAGAATAAAAATTAGGATCCTGCTCATGCCTGTAATTCCAGCACTTTGGAAGGCCAAGGTGGGAGGATTGCTTGAAGTCAGGAGTTTCAGACCAGCCTGAGCAAGAGTGAGATCCCATCTCTATAAAATACAAAAATTAGGCAGGCGTGGTGGTGTGTGCCTGTAGTTCCAGCTACTCAGCAGGCTGAGGCAGGAGGATCATTTAAGCTCAAGAGCTTTAAGTTGCAGTGAGCTATGACAACACCACTGCACTCTGGGCTAGGAAACAGTGTGAGACCCTGCCTCAAAAAAAAAAAAAAATAAATAAAAGATTAGGATCTGGATAAAGCTTCTAATGAGTATGCTGATGAGGTCCTGGAGGTCCTGTGGTATTTATAAACTCCCACTCTAATATGAAATAGATGTAGAATAAAACCTGCTAAGTTTTAGCAAAAGACCTAATAGTTTAAATAATGTAATGATTTGAGGAATTCCTGGGAACTTCTCCCTTAAGTCTGGCTTTTTAATTTTATGTAGCTATAAAGATTATTTGGATCCCTCTTAATTACTTACCTCTCCAGAAATGAACCTTATTTAGATAGTTCTACTCTAACATTGAAAGAATAAATATGTGGATCTTAGCCTAATGATATATTAAGTAACCTTCTTTCTTTTAATTTACTAGAGTGATATGCCCAGAGTAACATCATATTACTTGCAAAGGAATCTAAATAGAATTCCTTTTATTTAAATGAGATCTAGAATCTTTATAAGAAAGAAAACTAGAGCTCTTAGGTGATCAAAAATTATTACATATATTTAGAATTTATTTTTTTTCTACCTCTTCAAATTTAGATGTTGGACTTTTTTTGATCCAGGGTTAGAAAACCACTATTAAGCTCTGCTTCTTTTTCTTTTTCTTTTTTTTTTTTTGAGACAGAGTCTTGCTCTCTCAACCCAGGTAGAGAGCAGTGGCATCATCACAGATCACTGCAAAGTCAAACTCCTGGGCTCAAGAAGTCTTCCTGCCTCAGTCTCTGAAGTAGGCGGGACTACAGACGCAAGCCACCACACTCAGCTGAGTTTTTGTATTTTTTGTAGAGATAGGGTCTTGCTCTTGCTCCGGCTGGTCTTGAATTCCTGACCTCAAATAATCCTCCTGTCTGGGCCTCCCTGAGTGTTAGGATTACAGGCATGTGAGCCACTGTGCCTGGCTAAGCTCTGTTTCTTAATCTTGACTCTTCCTGTGTGATTCAAAGTATACTGGAGCATTCAATAGCCCAATTCCCTGATCTAGGAAATACAGGTAATGAAGCAGTGAAAGAGATGAGAGTGTGTAGTGGCTGGGAAGGATTAGAAAAATAGGTACAACTTTGTCCCCCCTCATAAGTAGTAACTTCTCATAAACTGATTACTTCTTTATTATAGTCTTGAAATTCCTGCTCTCTCAGACTGTATGGTTTCCATTTTTAAACAGCAAAAAATATAAAAATATATAAAATATATGCTGAGAAAAATATAAAAGTATAGTATATGTGAAAGTTTTTCTCTTTTCATAGTAAATTAAAGACTAAACAAAGGAAAACCAATAAAATGTGAATTATTTTATGGAATAAATATGGCAATTCATAAGTATTAAAATGATTCTACAGAACAAAGCATTACTTATTATATACATTAGCACCAAAAATAAATTTTCGAAAACATGACCAATATCATGTAAAAGTACTATATAAGGTAAATTGAAAGTGATATAAACTGACATGCAGAAATCAGTGACCATAAACTGCCATAATTCTACTGAAAGAAAACATACAATACATTCCACATATAGGAGAATTAGAAGTTATAGCTTGGCCACAGTGCTAAAAGGATTATGAGAAGCCAAAATACCAAATAGTCGATGGGTAAAATAGAATCATACCCAGGTTATCTGAAATCAGTATCTTAAGAAGATGAAAAAATAGCCCAGCATGGTGGCTCACACCTATAATCCCAGTACTTTGGAGTCCAAGGCTCAAGGATCACTTGAGGTCAGTAGTTCAAGGTGAGCCTGAGCAACATAGTGAGACCCTGCCTCTACAAAAAATTTAAAAATTAGCTGGGTGTGGTGGTATACCCTGTAGTCCCAGCTATTCGTGAGGCTGAGGCAGGAGGATTGCTTGAGCCCAGGAGTTTGATGTTGTCGTGAGCTATGAGGATGCTACTGCACTCTAGCCCAGGCAACAGAGTGAGACCTTGTCTCAAAAAAAAAAAAAAAAAAAAAGACAAAGAAAAAGAAGAAATATCTATAAGAGGGGAAAAAAGCTACTCTAGTAAATTCAAGAAACCTACTAATTTGAAATCATTCAGTATGTTTTCCCTCACTTATCCCTAAAATAAAAACAAGGAACTAGAAAAGTCTCTAGGTTAATATGGCCCTCTGTCTTACCTTCTACAACACTGTCAAATTTTCATATGCTGAACTACTGAATATCTCCTAACAAAGTCCAACTTACCGCCAATGCAGATGAATAAGAGCTGAAGATGTTCTGACGAAATTCTTTCAGGGCTTTTTTAAATACAACATCCACTAATGTATCTTTCTTGCTATCTTCATTATCTAGGTCATTCATCTAGGGACCACAAAAAGAATTTTTGTACATAATCAACTAATTGCAGAGAGGTGAATGCAACATTGGACATGCAGCATCTCCTAAAAAATGACTGTCCTGAAAATGTTAAGCTACAGGCTATTATGGGACCCAGGTAAAAGTATGATTAGAAAGTCAAACTATTATTACTACTAGATGATTTCTAAGACCCCTTCTAATATAGTATAATTCTATAGTTCTATTACCAGAAAAACTCCAGTGTGTAATAACAAGCCTCAACACATATGAAATATAACGTGACAATTATAGTAAAATAGAAGTCAACAGTAAAGCCTAAAACCTTAAATTCTGTCTATCAGTTTGAGTAATGCATATCCTATTATTTGCCCCTTTCTGGGAAAGAGCAGACCATAACACTTTCTGAAACGTATGTAACCTTGATCTTTAGAGGCCATACCCTGATATTTATAACCATTCCATAGCCAAAGCTGCTCAGAGGCCTAACTCTGCAAACAAAGTATACCTTTTTCAGAAGAAATTCATCCATGCTTTTCAAATCACTGGCACTTGCTATGATCTGGACAGAGTCATTTTGCCAATGCACAGAATCCAAAGCCACATTGCTGATCTTCACATTTCGCTTACGCTTAGCCTTTGGAGAAGGCTCTTTGTTCTCTTTGAACTCCTTCTGGCAACTCCCAGGCAGTTCTGGACTCAAGGGAGGTGTTGGATGATACTGAGTTAATTCTACAATTCAAGATAGAGTACCCAAAAAGACATATTAACAAAAATATTGATAATATTCACATCCTTCTTTTTAAGATCCTTTATTAAGTCACTGAAGGAAACACATGCAAACATGTGAAAAGCAAAATAATATTAATGTTTGCAGTCAGGCAGATGGGCAATAAATCCAGATTGTACATCTATACAGAAAATATACTTAAGAATTAGCACTTTTCAAAGGGAAATGTTATCTAGGTTTGACATTCAAAGCCTGGCTGGAAATGCCTTGTAGAATATCAACCTAGATCCCAGAGATCTCAATCCCAAAGAAAAGAAAGGGCAGTATGCAACCACAACTAGCATATTAAATGCTGAGTATTAACCCAGTCTCACCTTTGCTATATGTTTGAAAGAACATTCAGCTATATACAAGGTCAACAAACTGGTGGAGTTTGATAATTGTTATAATTATTTCTTTACTATGGTCTAAAGTCATGAATGCTTTAGTGATAATGTCTGATGATAGCCTGGCAATCTGTTAGGGAGCCAAGTAACTCAACTGGCTTATTTCTGCTTGGGTCTCTTTAGTTTTAGGATTTCCTTATAAATTCCCCAAATAATTGCCTGAATTTCTCACAGAATTCATGGAATGAACTGGCTTTGCATATATAACATTGAGAAGCACAACGATTTTTCTCTGCAACTGTTTACACCAGATAAATTAGATTCCATTACAATCTAGAACTGCACTGGATTTGCCAAAGCCCTACATGAAGCTTGTTGAGAATGTTGGCCTCTTCTATTTTCATATGTGCTGTTTCCCCAGTATGTATGCTCCTTACCCTCTTACATTCTAATTCTACCTAAAAGCTAACTCTAACAATAAAGGGAAGAAGTAGCCCCTATGTGCTAAATGCCACCTCAGGCAAGAATTGAGATAAACCGAATCTCAGCTATGACACCAGAATAAAGAATATAAAATTATGGGGCACAAGTATATTTAAACTTACATCAACTAATTTTAATTTCATTATAAATCTTAGATATATAAGTATCTATTTCATTTAGCAAAGTCAGTATCTTTGTCATAATAAAAAAATGATTACTGAAGAAATTATCTATAATCCCATTTTAACATTACAAACAAGGGCTACCTTAATAAATTTTACCCAAATATAAATGAAAAGCTTATTATCCTAACTTTTATACATGGCTCCTTATAAAGCAAATACAATAAAGTCTGCTTTAATATGAATTTTCAACTAATGAGATTTATACTTCTTTCTTGGGTATTAACAGCAAAGAATAAAGTAGTAGAAAATGAAAAATTTAGAATAATTACTGTCAAACGGACAAAAGAAATCAGCTACCTTAGTAACACAATGGTAAGGAATTCCAAATTTTCCAAACTGAATGTGTAGTATTCACTTTATTATTGGTTGTTATCCACATCAGTTTGTCACCTGATAGGAACAAAGCCACAAGATACAAAAATAGGGGTCTAACTACTTCTCCACCATTCTTTTCTGATACACAGAGCTGACAGGTGCCTCTGCTCCAGCCTATCCATTCCTATGTGAAGTTTGATTATATTTCCTCCTTGTCCTTGTATTTTATCCTAGATATGAAAAGTTTCTGCTTACTTACTGTAACTGAATCTGCCTTCCTTAAGAGATAATAGCTTTCTTCCTAGGGCCTCTTTCTATTTTAGTCAATGTCAGTATTTCACCCACATTATCATATATCCACCTCGAATGTATATCCCTGTTGAAGATAGCATCTTTACATAGTAGCTAAAAACTCTCAGACATGCCTGAGAAAAGGGCTTGGGAAGAAGGCATAATCTTCTAATATTGGGATTACTGGAATCCTCAGAGAGTAAATAATTTTAGCATTTAGAAAGGTCAATTTTCTCAATAGATGAAGTAACTGTTGGATACTTTCAAATGCTATGTATGGTTCATGCCCAAAAAGTTAAAATAAGAGCTACATTATAAAGTGCCAGGCATCTGCTAGGCATTGACATACAGTAGGTATTCAATATACAACACAGTGGTTAAGAAAGGATTGAAGTGGATTCAAATCTCAGCTCTTCCAGTTACTATATGTGCATAAATAAATAACTTCTCTGTGTCTGCATTTTCTCATCTATGAATTGGGAATAATAACCATACCAACTTTGAAAAATTGTTGTGAAGATCAATTAAGTTAATACATATAACATCCTTACTATAGTGCCTTGTATATAGTAAGCACTCAAATATTAGCTGCTATTATTATTATCAATAATACCTATTTGTTAAGTGAATGAATATGGATCCATTTTTTTTGTAATTTAGAAAACTAAGGCTAACCTAAAATTCATGAACATTCTTAAAGTGGTTGTTGTTTCACTGTTTTGAAGCACATTTTCTTGAACTTCTATTATAGGTACAGTGTAACTTTATGATTATTTTTAGTTAAGGAATGATATAACAATCCTGGTCCTATCTCATTAGAATATCTAGCCAACAGGAATGCCATTATGAATACTACAGGAATAGCAAACTTTCAGAAAGAGTAAACAAAAATTATGATAAACAGAAATTAGGAAGAAATGCTCCACCCTTTGTCCATTTTTACCATCTGGAAAGTGATGAGCTGGAATCACATCTGAGCCTGCAAAGAGTGCTGAAACCTCTGACTGGGTGGCAGGTTTCACTCTCGTAGTCTTCTTCTCCCCTTGTTTCCCTTTGGCCCAGAATCTCATCTTAGCTCTCTGAGGTCTGTTTAAAAAAATAAAGGAAAAAATGAAAATCAGCATGTCCCAATGATGATATTTATATATCACTTTAAGCTTTAGATACCTTTCATGTGTATTAGCTTATTTAATCATCACATTTGAATTTAACCATATTTAATCTTCAATTTCACATCTAAACTCCACCTGGAAGGTAAACAGTTACCTCATCTTGAAAAAAATTAAATAATTTCCTAAAGTAAAGCAGCTACAAAGCAGTGGAACTAGGATTCCAACCCAGGTTTTCTAATTCTCAAACTGGTATCTGTTCATTCTTGACCCTCAACCAGCTTGGATTTAGTATATACACGATTTAACAATAAAGAAAATGCTTTTTAAAGAAATCACTAATAATCCTACTACTCTATTGAAAGTTTTCTTACTTTTTTTGTAATGTCCTTCCAGTCTTTATCCATAATCATGCCAATTTTTCTGTTACTGTAATCATGATGCACATATAATTTTAAATCTTTTCACTCACCATTATATGATAAAAGCTTTAAAGCCACTATTTTATATTCATCATTAATTAACAAAAGGCACTGCTTATTTGAACTCTTATCTTTCTCTAGGCGCAGGGCTAAGTGCTTATATAGGATTACCTTATTTAATTATAACAACTTGGCTTTTAACAAACTACTATTAAAATTATGCAGGTGAAAAACTGGAGACTTAGAAACATTAGGTAACTTTCCAAAGGTTACACAGCCAGTGAGTGACAAAGTTGAGAACCACACCGACTATACTATATTGCCTCTTCTTAGTGCTTATACACTCTTTCATCATATAAATTGAGGAAAGTACCTTCGGATAAGAACAGCTTGCATTTACTGACCATCTATTACATATTCTAACCCTGTACTAGGAGGCTTATTTGCACATTAATTTGTCCATTTGTATGTTCATTCATTCAATTAAAGAGAAATATTTGAGCATCTACTAGGTGACAAACACTATGCCTTACATGTGATTTCCCTAATTTTCACAACTACCATGATTAATAGGTATTATTTTCCTTACTTTACACATGAGCAAAATGAGTCTAAGATGGCTAATAGAGATGGAAGTTAAAATCAGATTTATCTGGTTTTGAAGCCCATACTCTTTTTTCCTTTTTTTAAAAAAAAGCTTGTTATCAAACGTATACAGTCATATATTATAAAGAGATATTGTTCTCTAAGACATTACGAACAATAGCATCTTTCTGCCATTCTCATCCCATTTTCTGCTCCCTGGGGACAATCTTTTTGAAATGATTTAACTGATTCTTCTGATATTTAACATGCTTATATTGCTATCATATTCATGATCACAGATAGTGATGAATCATGTTCTACCACTCTAGCTAGAGTAGAATTTATACTCTAGCTTTAGTTAGGTCAATATCCAGATTATACTTTTAGTAATATTCAGTATTTATTTTTATTATGTAAATAATACTCACAGTTGAGGCACATAGTTCCCTAAATGACCTACTTTATTCTAGAGGATTGTTTTTATTTTGTTTGTTTGTTTTTTATGTAGAGAGAGAGGGTCTTACTCTGTTGTCCAGGCAGGAGTACAGTGGCATGATCATAGCTCACTACAGCCTTGAACTCTTGCCTTCAAGTGTTTCTCCTGCCTGAGTCCCTCAAAGTGCTGGGATTACAGGCTTGAGCCACCATGCCAGGCCAAGATGTTTTTTGTGTGTTTTATTTTTTAATATGAGCATGAAAATTATTTTATTTTTTATTTGCTCATTTTTCTACATACAATTCACCTTCAAGTATTTCCCCATTGGTGTATATCTCCTCTCAATATGTCCAAACATATTAGATACTCTCAGTTTCATATTCTTGAAGAAATCTCTCCCAGAGCCTCTTAAGATGCTCCCATCAGGAATGGTTTCCCTCATTGTTTGCTTTGCAGCTGACATTTGAAAAGCTACTTTCATTGCCATAACGGAGATTCTTTTTGTCTCTTTTGTTTTATGAAGACATGTCTTTTGGTATGGGTTTGTTTTTATCCATTCTTTCTATGTTGGATACTCAGTGGGCCCTTTCAATCTGGAAATTCATATCCTTCAGTTCTATAAAATTTGATTAAATTACCTTATTGATAATTTGCTCCTCTCCATTTTCTTGGTTCTATCTTTCCAGAGCTTCTATCATTGGGTCATTGGATCTCCTGAATTGATCCTCTAAAACTCCTATCTCTTCATCTTTTTGCTCAACATTCTGAGGTATCTCCTCGACTTTTTTTCCAACTCTTCTCAGTTGCTCTTTTATGCTATCATATTTTTAATTTTCAAAAGTTCTTTCTATTACAAATGTTTCTCACATACCATTTGGTTTCATAGATACAATTATACTTATTATGCAGAAGTCTGTTGATAGTTATATTTGTCTGCCTTGAAGTCTTCTAAACCCTGCTTTGTTTATTTCTTCCCAGTTGTATTTTATCTGTTAGTTTTGTTTTTTTCAATATAAGGTATTTCCTCAAATGTGTGGTGACCACTGGTATCTGCTTATAATTCAAAGCAGCATTTTAAAAAAAAGCAGCTTCTAAGCCCTTCCAAGCACTGGTAGGACTTCTAAACTATAGTTTTCCTTATAGGGTTTTATCTTGCTGGTTGATTATGCAGGGAGAGCTCCTGATAGTAATATCTTCAGATTTTCCCTTGAAGGCTGGACAGAAGTCTCTTTGAACCACTTGCTTAGAGGATATGGGAAATGTAGGAGCTGAACAAAGGAAAAAAGCTGGGGGATCTTGACATTCAGTATGTAAGGTGTCATTAAATCTCCTTCTTCCAAATATGTATCCCAGCCCTCAACTATATGTGGTAAACTCCAAATCCAGAGACCTTCTGTTTTATCCTTTCCAGAGAACAAACTTGTTTTCTGATAGGACTGGGGAGGGTCAGTCAGCTAGATACTTCTTTCTCAGCTTTACCTTGAGCTGGTTTAGGATTCAGCTCTCTCTTATCTATTAAGACATTCAAAATTTAAAGTCTATTTACTTTTCAAATTCCACAATTTTATTGTAGCTGTCTCCATTTCTGATGGGTTTTTTTTGAGGGGGGGGACTTTGTAGGTTTTTTTTTTCTTCATTTTTTTCATTTTTTTAGCAATTTTAGGGGAGGAAGTGGAAATTAAACATATTTAAGCTTCTATCTCCAGGTATACGTTCTTTTACTATGTTATATCATGTTTCTCAATATTTGATTTCCATTATAATCTGCTCTGGATTTCGGTTACCTTGGATCATGCCTCTATAGTCAATAAGAAAGTTGTCTTTGACAGGGTTATGAACCAGAAAAATTTCAACATGATATTCAAGTTTTTTTGTGAGGGCCCAAATGCTTACATAGCATAGTAAGAGACAAAAGTATTTATTTGAAAAATAAAAATTCCACAAGCTCTCTTAAAGAGAATATAATTATTTCCTGAAAGTCCTTTCCAGTTCCATTTCTAAAATACTTAGCTCAGAACAAAATTCAAGTCCAAAGGTGGGACATATTTTCAATCTTATCTTGTCTAATCTTCTTTTACAACAAAAGACCACAAGTCATATAATGATTGAGAGATTCCCCTACCCCCAAAATCATACTGCTAAGCATAGAGGGAGATAAAGCTTATTGCATTGATGGGAGCCAGAATGTGTCACCCCAAAATATGCTTACCTGACATAAATATTTTTAAACTAAAGGCAATTAAGAATAGATGCAGAAAAGCTCTGCCCTCTCCTATTTGCCTAAAAGCAGGACATAAATTTGTAAAGGTGTTCTACCTTCCCTTTTAACCAGGAAGGATAGAAATTACTCATTGGTGACAGCTATAATCTTTTATCAGCTAGAGGACAACTTTACTCCATTAGTTCCCTCATAAATTTACCTTCTCACAATTTTCCCACCTTTGGAAGCCTAAAACTGCTTTTCTTTGTCTTGTCTTTTCTCTAAAATTTACTGTTATTTGTTGAAGACAATATATAAGCCAGACTTCTAAACCATTGGTTTGAGTTACTTTTCTCCTGCATGATATATATTGCATGTGTTAATAAACTTGTTTTTCTCTTTTTAAATCTTATCTTTTGTTGTGGGAGTTTGTCCCAGGAATGAACTTACAAGAGTTGAGGAAATTTTTTTTCTCTCTTTAATATATGTATGAATTACTATGTGCCTATCAACAGTAGGTACTTAACTTTCCTTAAAAAACCAGAAAATGAATTTAATTTCAAAAGTGCTTCTTTATGAATTATGGTTTTCAAAAGGTGCTCAGTATTTTACAGTCAAGTATTAAATAAAATTATAATATCCCTGTTAACTCTGTGTATACTTTATACCTTGTATTCAAATCTGAAGCCTTCTGTCTCACTGCCAACTTCGTAATCTCTCCTTGAGACATAGTCTTATGAAGCTTTGCTTGTTCATCAACTGAAGAAAATCGTTGTGATGTCTGTAATAATTACATATGTGAAAACTTTAAAACCAAATAAATATATGATAGCTCTGTAATTAAAACAGGGTATAGAATTATTTGAGCTGTTAAAATATACATAAAAGATATTCATATTATTCAGAGATTCACTGAAATAATAGAACCTACTGAAAACTCTTATTAACTTTCTAATGTAATCTAAAATGAGGAGGACTTGGTCAATGAAAATAATAGATAGGGCCCATGAGTTTATATTTTCTGACAATTTAACAAAGAATCTCAAGTGGAAAGGATAGAAAAAGTCAAAACCATTTAAAGATATAGAAAAAAGATGCAGGATCTGATAAATCTAGAACACTAAGTATTGTCTTTCAAATCTTCTCTTATTTGTCCCAAAAGATGGTTATTATTTTTATAGCTTAACTTGCTATTATAGATTCTTCTTCTATTTAGTCAGCCAAGAATTTAAGAGCTAGAACACATGAAGATAAAGAAAACCAAAAGACCAAAGAATAAAGGACCAGTATCACTAATGTTCTAAATTATAAACAATTTACAAAGCTATTAAACTGGGACCTGAATTTCAATTGCAATTTTTGTTCCATTTTTTCATGATGTGTCCTTCTCTAAAGACAATCCTATTCTGAGGAGAGAATTTCTTGTTACCTATTCAAGTCATTTCCTGCTATTTCATTTTTCTATAGGTATAATATCCTTTCTTTAGCTTTTTGGTCTGCCTAACTATAGCCTTATCAATAGAAAGAGAAAGTATTCTGAGTTGTTAAAATGTAAAGAACAGATTTCTGCTTCTGGCAAAGATGGAGTAATAGGGACCTAGTTTATCCCCTTTCCTGAAGCAAATAAAAACTAGAGAAAATAATATGGAACAGGAATTTTCAAGACAATGAACAGATATCCTTGAGAAATTGGAAACAAAGGAAGTGTGTCCTATACCTGCCCTATCTTACTGCCTTGAGAAAGTTTATAGGTTGTGGGACACATAGAGGGAGAACCCAGGTGAAACTTGGCAGACTCCCTGAGATGAACAAATGAAGATAAAAGTCTAAAGTGACCAAGATGACTAGACACCAAAAGACAGAGCACTGGAGAGGAGTGAGATGCACAAAAAACAAACTCTGGAGCTCTACAGAAGGTCCCCGTTGAGTACTTAGCTTAAGCACAAAGCAACACTTCTGTGTGAGAAAACAACCCTAGATTAGGAAAAAGACCACTTGAAAGGACGAAAGGTAATAGTGCCCATCATTCACAAAAGGTCAGTAATAGGGCCAGGCACAGTACCTCAAGTCTGTAATCTCAGCACTCTGGGAGGATCTCTTGAGGTCAGGAGTTTGAGACCAGCCTGAAGAATGAGACCCAGTCTCTATTAAAAATAGAAAAATTAGCCAGGCATGGTGGAATGCACCTATAGTCCCAGCCACTCAGGAGGCTGAGGCAGGAAGATCGCTTGAGCCCAAGAGTTTGGGTTGCAGTTGGCTATAATGATGCCACTCAACTCTATCCAGGTCAACAGAGAGAGACTCTGTCTCAAAAAATAAAAAAAAGAAAGTCAGCAATAGCACGTGTGCCCTAGAGCCAGAGTATATAACTTTATGATTTCTGGGGTATTGAGCAAAGTACATAGAGGATCTTGCCTCAATAGTCAAGAATAATTAGCCCTAGACTTGAGTACTTTTTGAGTCTGACCAACCTTAGAAAGACCTGAAAAGATCAAACTACTTCCAGAACAAAGCCCTGAAATATTATTGGAGAGCAATAGTCTAAAAAAATATTAATTGAACATAAAAATATCCACAAAAACTGCACTCAACAAGGCAAAATTCACAGTGTTAGGCCTGCAATAGAAAAAATAACTAGGCATGCAAAGAAGGAAGAATATATAACCCAGAATGAGGAAAAAAATCAATCCATTTATATTGCCTCAAAATTGACCCAAATGTTATTGAATTGGAAGGACATTAAAATAGTAATTATAACTGTATTCCATATGTTCAAAAGGTAAGTAGAGAACTGGAAGATATTAAAAAGACTCAAATCAAACTTCTAGAGATGAAAACATCAATGTCTGAAATGAAAAATATACTAGGTAGGACTAACAGCAGATTAGATATTACAAAATAAAAGGTTAGTGAACATAAAGATGTCTTCAAGCCAAAAGAGGCATATGGAATTCTTCCTATGCTAGAAATCTCTGACTTTCTCTTCTCACCAGCCAAGAAATGTTTTCATGCGGTCATAGAACCTTAATTACATCTGCAAAATCCCTTTACAACAGAACCTAGATTAGTGTCTGATTAAATAACTGGAAGAGGGTATGTTTTCAGTAGGGATGGGAATCTTGTCAGGCCATTTTAGAATTCTTCCTACCACAGAACACATATATAATTACATTTATAAGAAGTTCTAGAATAATGGTTGCTTCTGAGGGTGGAGTTGAAGGTGGAAGGTCAAGTAGAAACATGAGAAGAATTTTGAGGTTACAGCAATCTTGACAAGAGTATAAATTATGTGGTTGTATGCATATGTCAAAAATGGTCAAACTGTATACTGAAGATCTGTGCATTTCACTGTATGTATTATATACCTCTATTATAATAATAATAAATCCAGGATCAGGCCAATAATATGTGATCCCTATGATCGATCCAAACCTCACAAAGAGAGATATGGCCCCCAATGTGATGCAATAGGACATACTACAATCTATAAAGCATTTTCCTCAAAAAATTAAATCCAAGTATGACCAAAACTCCTAATCTATATATTTATACCCTGTATTTCCTGTAAACTGGTTTAATGTAACTTACAATAATAAGACAGTGGGTTATCAGAACTTATTAACATTAGTGTCACTAAAGTTGGTATTCAACCTCCCACTGCTAAATTTGACTGGCTTTAAAAAAATAAATAAATAAATAATAAGACAGGGTTACAATCAGTAAAATCCAAAAATGTGGGAAACTTAACAGAACAAATGACCCTATTTCCTCAACAAATAGATTGCTAGAGGGAAAAAGAAAAAAGAGGGAAGGGAAATTTATAGATTAAGAGTGTCTTAAAAAATGACTTCTAGGAAGCTAAAAATAATGCAAGCTGCCTAAACAAAAATAAATATAGTGACATATTCTCAAAAAATAATACAAAGCCATCCTGACTAAGCATGATAGGGAAAAGAAAAAAAAAAAGGAACAAAAATAAAACTACACAAAACTTACACTTGTAACATAACTAGAAAGAAGAAAGCATCTGTTTGCTGCTTCTGGTACAAAAAAAAAAAAAAAAAAAAAAAAAAAAAAAAAAAAAAAAAAAAAAAAAAAAAAAAAAAAAAGAAGAAAGCACCCAAACTTCAAATTACCCGTAGGCAGAAAAATAATCCCAACAAGCTCTCTCTCACAGTCCCACTGCATGCTTTTGCACAGAACAATTGCTATCTAAGAAAAACTGTGGAAAAGAGAAAATAGTAAAACTAGCAATGGTTTTAGGATTGATATAAAATCACTGCCACAAAAAGAAGGTCCACTCTAATTGTGAAAATACAAAAGGTTATTTTAGATTAGAGAACTGACCTCAGGGAAACAACTTAAAAATGCATATGATTCAAGGTGATATTTTCTAAAGGTAAAGCTTCTGGCAAAAGGAAGTAAAAAGGAAGGAAGAGGTGCCCTTTGGAGATCAGGCAGTGAAGAGAAAAAGAAGCAGAAGGTAGAAATTTAGAATCCAGCAAGGCAAAACAGAAGCAAAACAATTGGAGGACATAGAATATTGCTTCCACCACCACTAAAACATAACAAAAACAGGCCATTCATTAAAGAAACTGTACTTTGCTATACTGACAAAAGAGGAAGTTCTTGAACTTCCTCTTGTAAACCACCCCACATACACAAAATGAATAAATTAAAATATACAAAAGCTATAAAAAGCTATAAAAAACAAAGTAAATGAGTATCAAATGAGAACCAAAATGAGAATCAAAACAACTCAATTGATTACCACCACCCCCTCACCAAAGAAAACAACTCAATTGATTAATACTATCAGGAGATTTGTCATATATATGAGGATATTTAATTCATTTGAGAGTTATTCCTCATATATATGACAAATCTCCTGAATGAGAAGTACAAAAATAAAAACTAGAAATAGATTTAAAAGACAGAAAAAAAAAAATGAAAAGAGATTGGCTGAACTCAAGAAAGAAATAAAACAAAAAGATAATATTAACTCTAAAATGAAGACAAATGTCACTGGGCCCCATGAGATTTTAGTACCTGAACATTTTTAATGGCTGAAATAATTGGACTAGGCCCTTAGTTGTTTCTACAATGTTAACTTCTTGCTTTCTGCCCAGGACCCTTTCTTTCCACAGCAGTTATTAACTGCTAATGCACTATTTCTTTGTCAAGCTGTAGGAGTTAACTCCAGGGTCACAGGAGAATCTATGAAGTTTGTTTTGCAGAAGGAATAAATACCTCTGAGAAAGTTGCAACTAGCCGCTAATGCCTAGAAGTTTGATTACTCAAAGTGTTGAGACTAAAAGCAACACAGACTTCCCCCTATGTTAACCCCAACTCTGCATAAAAGTTTGCTGCCTCATCTTTACAGCAAGGCAAATCTAAGAGACTATTGTCTTATCTCCTGGTTTTGGCCAACTTGAATAAACTTCTCTTTCGTGAGGCAGCAATGTCACAGTGGCTTTAGCTGAGAATTGGGTTCTCCAACACTAACTTATAAGGTACCCAAGGGAAAGCATAAACAAAAAAGCATAAACAAAAATTTTAAAGGAATTAAATAAAGTCAGAAAAATAATAAAGAATATAAAAGTGATATAATGAAAAAAAGTAAAAAGGGTCAGAGAGACGGTAACTGAAATGGAAGACAGGCAAAACAGAAAAAACATATATATACTTGAAATCCCTATGAAAAATAAAACAATGCAATGTAACTAAATTTAGAGACAGAGTCTCATTCTTTTCCTGTGAGTAGAATGCCGTGGCATCAGC